TAAACGGGTTAGTCTTTAAGGTGCCATAAAACTCCTCTTTGTTTTTGTGATACACTGTCAGACAACTTCAGGCAAACTAACTTGCCCACACTAAAAAAACAACCAAAACAAAAACCGGTAAATGAAGAAGGGGCAATATACACAAGATCATACCATCCACGCACTGTGCTATATTAACAAATAAATTGACGCTTTGGAATCTACAAAAGAAGAGTTAAACCCAGGTGAATCTGGATGGAAGAGGAGCAGCTAAGGTGGCAATATGCCATGACATAGGGTAATTGGGAAGGTACTACAGATATACCACAGCACATTTACAGAGAGAAACACGGGCGGCAGGCTTAGAGCATTAAGACCCTTGAGGGTTATAAATCCTGTGACTAATTCAAATCCAGTCCAGGTCAGAATTGAGCAAAAGTCAGTACACCATGTCTCACATGCTCCAGCCTGACTCCTATCTGGTGGTCCACAAATGTTGGTCTCAGTCCAATTCCCCAGCCCAATGGGCAAACAAGCATATTACATCTCCAGTGATGTCAAGCTGGCACCTTTAGTTAGAATTAAAACTTCCTTTAACCAGCACACCTGGTCCTTTTTTTTTTATTTTTTATTTTAAAAACATTGCCATTCCATAGACATGCCCTGTCTCTAATAGAGATTCAACTCACCAGTCACTAGACAGGACAGCGTTATAATGATGCTCGCTCCAAGTTAACACCTGTTAGAGAGAGATCTCATGGCCAGAGTCCTGTAGAATGTCGCGTTAAACAGAAGTTCGCTGTTGTAACGATCGCTGGTTTGTCCCCGACATTTAAATGGCTGGGATTATAAGACCGGTAAAGCCCCGCGAATAAACAGTGCTAACAACGAGGAGAACCGTCCTTTCAACGTCTAGGGAAACATTTTAACAAAGCCCCCACCCCCATTCCCTCCTGGCTATAGCAGTGCGGTACGGGGAGGATAGGCCCAGCCCCGCCCCCATCCCCATCCCCCGCGCCTCTCGGCCCAGGTCCGCGCTCCCCCACCCGCAGGACTCGCTCCCCTGAACCAAGCCCCGGCCGGTGCACGCTCGCCCCTCCCCCACCCGTCCCGGCGCCCCGGGGCGGAGCACGCTCCCCGGCGCCCTGGGATCGCCCTCACTCACCGGGACGGGCTCTCCCTGCCGCCCGGGGGACGCGGCGCTGGGACCCCCGGTTCCGGCTCGGTCCTGGCGCCCCCTCGCCCGCTCCTGATCCGTTCCAATCAACAACAAGATGGCGGCGCCCGGGAAGGCGGAGATTCCGCCAGCTGCTGTCATAGCAACCGTGCCGGCCAGGTCCGCACTTCCCCGAGATGAGCACCAATCACAGCACGAGCCCTCCCGCCAATGCGCAGCCAGAACGTTGACAAGCTAACGGAGCTGTCCTTCAAACACTTGAAGGGTCGCTCCGCTGGCTGAGCCGCCGGCGGGTTCCCGACACACGCTAGGCACACGTGACGCGTCCGACCCACGGGGACCGAGACCGCCCATTGGCCAACAGAATCGAGAACCATCCAATCAAGGCGCGGTATGGGGGCCTGGTACTGAGCGCTTCCCCTGACGCCTCGGTGGCACCCCCTCGTGACCCGCCCTTTGACCCTCCCCATGGGACCCACCTGCCCTCAAATTCCTTCCCTCTGCCCCTCCCAATGGGACCTGCCCTCTGCCCCCCTCAATGGGACCTGCCTCTGACCCCTTCCCTCTGACCCCCTCGGGCTCTGACCTCTGACCCCTTCCCTCTGACCCCCATAGGACCTGGCCTCTGACCACTTTCCTCTGACCCCCCCCCCATGGGATCTGGCCTCTGACCGCCCATGGGACCTGGCCTCTGATCCACATGGGACCTGGCCTCTGATCCCCTCCCTCTGACCCTCATGGGACCTGCCCTCTGACTCCCCCAATGAGACCTGCCCTCTGAGCCCCACATGGGACCTGCCCTCTGACCCCCCAATGGGCCCACCCTCTGACCTCTTCCTCTGACCCTCTGTGACAGAATAGGGAGTATTAACCTGTTAATGTTTCATGGGAGTTTTACTAGTTTACTGTCTTCTGCTAATACGGGGCATGCCTCCGTTTCCCTGGGGTACTGCACCAATACTAGATGGTGATGGGCAATAAGGGTGTGGCTTCACTGAGGGATGATACTTGACGGCCAGCACGTAAATGATGGTGGCTGCCCTTCCTAACCTGAGTCCAGGAAGGGGTTGGGGCCAGGGGACATCTTCTGCCCAGGAACTGGACAAACGCTGGAGGTTGGGCTGGGGATGTGGTTGTGGGAGGCAGAAGGAAGGGGTTTCAGTTTGGGAGCTGGCTGGCTGGAGCTCGGTCTGGGCTTCCCACCCTACAAGAGGGACCTGACTGAGGGGTCCTATTTTCTGTACCTACAAGCTCTGTTTTAGACTGTGTTCCTATCATCTAATAAACCTTCTGTTTTCCTGGTTGGCTGAGAGTCACAGTGAATTGCAGGAAGTGCGAGGTGCAGGGCCCTGACTCCCCCACACTCCATGACAACTGGTGGCAGTGGGGTGGGATGTATTGCACCCCGTGGATGGCGCTTCCTGCAGTAAGTGACTGGGGAGCAGTAAAACGAAGGGGGATTAACGAGAACCAAGCGTGCTGAAGGCTCAGAGAGGAGCGATTTCAGGAGGCGGAGGAGCTATGCTTAACCCCTAGGAGTGTGTGACCCCAAAGGGTGAATGTGGAGAACAGGGGAACAACCAGCACCAGGACTAACCGACCAGCTCGAGGGGACCAATGGAATGTGAATTGTTATTACTGTGGGCAGAGGGGCCACATACGGATCCAGTGTCCCAAGCTCAAGGACCCATAGGTGCCAACTCTGGAGCCCCACGGAAAAAAATTGGTGGGTGCTCAGCACCCACTGGCAGCTCCCCGTGGCACCCGCCCCACCCCCCTGCTCCAGCTCACCTCCACCTCCCCAACGAGCGTGCCACCGCGCCCTGCTTCTCCCACCTCTCTCCAGCGCTTGCACCGCAAAACAGCTGATTCGTGGGGGAAGAGGTGGAGCTGGGGCGGGGATTTGGGGAAGGGATCCAATAGGGGCAGGGAGGGGGTGGAGTTAGGGCGGGGACTTTGGGGATGGGGTAGGAATGGGGGTGGGGCCAGGGGCGGGGATGGGGTGGAGTCGGGGCGGGGAAAGGGGCGGGGGGGTGCGGGCACCCACCGGCGCCGGAGAAAGTTGGCGCCTATGCAAGGACCGACTGAGCAAATCGAACCCACACAGGGTTAACTGGGTAGGGACCCAGCAGAGGGGCAGGCTTCCCAGGCAGGAGGGGCTGGCAGCTTACCAACTGCTCTGGAGGGAGGAGTTACCCAGACCAACTCCTCTGTGGGGCTTAATGCTCCGGACTCAAGGTTCTCAGTTTACAGGGTGGGCGCGGGGCTGTCCCTGCAGAGTGAGTGCCTTGTTCCCCAGGAGGTGGATGGGACGAAGGTCAATGAATACTGGGACACGGGCGCTGAAGTGACACTGGCCCGGCCTGAGGTAGTGGCCCCAGATCGGGTGGTGCCCGATACCTACCTGATCCTGACTGGCGTGAGTAGGACCCCCAATCAAGGTGCCCATGGCGAGGGTGTGACGAAGTGGGAATGTTCTTAATGTTTCCTCTGAATACTGTGTGGGTGCCTCAGTTTTCCCTATGCATTTCTTAAGTCTCTAGGTGGTGGGATAAAGGCCAGTATGCATAAATGGCCGGCACTCTGTCTCCTAGCAACAAATGGCTGGGGCCCTTCCCCACTGCAAGGGAATAGCTAAAGGTGAACAAAGAGATCAGATGACCTCCTGGCCCGGGAAAGAGACAAAGGCCAGAAAGGAGGTGCTGGAGGGGGTTTCAGTTGGGAGCTGGCTGGGGACGGGAAGTGAGTGCAGACGGGGTTGCCTGCCTCGCTGGGCCCCAGAATGGACCCGGGTGAGGGGTCCCGCTCTCTGTACCTACAAGCTCTGTTTTAGACCGTGTTCCTGTCATCTAATAAACCTCTGTTTTACTGGCTGGCTAAGAGTCACGGCTGACTGCGAAGTGGGGGTGCGTGCAGGACCCTCTGGCTTCCCCAGGACCCCACCTGGGCAGACTCGCTGTGGGAAGCGCACGGAGGGGCATATGCTGAATGCTCCAAGGAGAGACCCAGGAAGGTGAAGCCGTGTGAGCTTCTTGCCCTGAAGACAGTCTGCTCCAAGGGAGAGGAGGCTCCCCAAAGTCCTGACTGGCTTTGTGGGGAGCAGTTCCAGAGCATTGCCTGGGGACTCCGTGACAGAGGGTACATCTGAAATCGAGGGCCAAGGGCCCCAAGGACGTGGGGGTGCACCATCATTTGCCCACTGAGGTATTGATGGGAGGTGACCTAGAGGATTGGCCAAGCAACCCCCAGAATGCCCTAGTCATGACCAGAGCCACCGAGGGGCACTACTCCCTGACATCGGGAAGGGTACCTCACCAGAGGTACAGGACCCCACCCTGGTGGGGAGTGCCCAGGGACAAGGCTCTGAGGGACTGCAGTTTCAGACCCAGCCAGCAAGAGGGAGCAGGCCCCCATCCCTTCCCCAGCTGCTGAGTTCCAGGCTGAGTTGCAGAAAGATCTCTCCTTGCAGAAGCTAAGGGAACTGGCTGTCCTCAGTGTGGCACAGACCATGGGGAAAGGCTGCCAGGAGAGGTTCCTGTGGGAGAAGGGATTCCTGTACCAAGAATGGGCTCCCCCAGGGGAAGTGAAGTCATGGGGGATCCGGAGGCAGCTGGTGGTCCCCTAGAAGTATCGCCTTAAGTTACTGAACCTGGCCCACAGGGACGGCAGGTTTGTATAATTTTTGGTGGTGCCCAGAACAGGTCCAAGTCCTGCCCCTCTCCCCCCCACACACACACACCTGCCCTGTAAGCTGTGATGAAGTGGGAATTTTCCCTTGTTATGTTATATGTGAGTCTTACTGTTTTGCATGAGTGCTGTGTGTGCCTCAGTTTCCCTGTGTATTGCACCAATGTCTAGGTGGTGGGAATAAGGGTGTGTTACTTTTGCGAGGGTTGCTCCAGCTGCCTGCTTGGATGCTATGGTGGCCCCTTTGTAACCTGAGATCCAGGAGGGGGATGCGACCAGGTGACTCTTGGCCTGGGAAGCGAGACAAAGGCCGGAGGAGGAGCAATGGGCAGGGCAGGGGGCAGGCATCTGGAAGCGAGTCAGTCTCTGCTGGCTTGGGGTTCAGGAGGAGGACCAGAGCCCTGGCTCTGGACTCCCCTCCATCCAGGATGGAATTGGCTGAAAGTCACTGATTTTTGTGATACCAAGCTCTGCCCGACGCTGTGTTCCTGTTGTTTTACCTTCTGTGTTACTGGCTGGCTGAGAGTCACTCCTGACTGTGGAGTTGGGGTGCAGGGCCCTCTGACTTCCCCAGGAGCCCTGCCCGGGCAGACTCGCTGCGGGGAGCGCACAGTGTGGAAGGGGATGCTGAATGCTCTGAGGTCAGACCCAGGAAGGTCGAAGCTGTGTAAGCCTCTTGCCCTGGAGACAGTATGCTCAGAGAGAGAAAGGTCCCCCAGAGTCCTGGCTAGCTTCATACGGAGTAGTTCCAGTGCAGTGACTCTGTGACAACAGCCAATATATATTTTTTTTAATGTAAAAATGTGAGGGCTCTGGGGGGGGCTGATGATGAGGGGCTTGGGGTGTGGGAGAGGCTCAAGCAGAGGGTTGGGGTTGAGCGGTGAGGGCTGTGGGGTGGGGCTGGGGATGAGGAGTGAGGGATGCAGGAGGGGGCCCAGGGTTGGGGCAGAAGGTTAGGGTGCAGGGGGATGAGGCTCTGGCTGGGGCTGGGGATGAGGGGTTTGGGGTGTGGGAGGGGCTCAGGGCTAGGGCAGAGGGTTGGAGTGCGGGGAGGTGAGGGGTCTGGCTGGGGGTGCGGGCTCTGGGGCGGGGTGGGGCAGGGCTGGGGATGAGGAGTTTGGGGTGCAGGCAGGCTGCCCTGGGGCTGGGACCAGAGAGGAGGACTCCCCCCAGCCGTCTCCCCACCAGCAGCAGCGAGCTCCGGGGGAGGGACTCCCCTCTTCTCCTGGCAGCACACTCACCTCACACCACTGCCACTGCATGTGCTCCTAGAGCCCCTCTCAGGTCCAGGAAGCCCCTTCGCCTCCCCTGTGGTAGGTGCCGGGGGGGGGGGGGACGACTGCCATCACATGTGCGTCTCCTCCCCTGCTGCTGCTCCTCACTTTAGCCTCACTGGGTGGGGCTGTCCCT